TAACTGGACAATCAGAGCAAAATTGAGTGGAAAATTACCATAATGACATTTTCAAAACCAATTTCAACATAGCTGTTTTTAAGGCTTCGACATCATAAACAGCACCTATTCTTTGTTATTTGCAGAAATAAAAATTCAAAATTTGACTACAATGTTTGTTTTGATATTCCATCTTTCAACAAACACTCTACATAACCGATCAAAACGTTAAAGCTAAATTTCAACCTCAACAAACCTAAAGAATCATTTGAAGCAATATAACAATAAGAGTAAAAGCCGCGCTCAGTGTCAACCTTGTACTATTTAAGGATACAATAAAAATTAGTTTATTTTAAATTAATTCCATCTTTACCCATAGTTACTGACAGTAAGTAAAAAACTCACATCATATTTACAATTTTTCTGCTTTTAAAGCCTTGTATATAACTCTGTTCTCATAAAGCTTCGCAATTAACTTCAGTATTAAATATCACTTTTCTTGTGCATATTTCAAGTCGAGTCTTGTCACTGACCTTAAAACATTTATGCCAAGCAGTCAGAAACTTGATTTACCTATTTTTTTGGTAATTAGTAAAGGGCTACTGGAATCCAAAGAACTGTTGCATCCCGCAATATACTCTTTCATAATGTTGTTGTTAGATTTATATAAAGTTTATTGCATATATCATTTTCAGATTATAATGGGTAGTTGTAATTTTTTTATAAAGTAATGAGAAAAAGTCAAGTCAACCCGGCAGAAAAAACATAACTCTGGCACCAGGAAAACAAGGGTGAAAACTAAAATCGTCGCGGCGAAACCGGGACACCTTATTATTCTAAATCTAAGAAGCATTTTTTTTTGTCAAATGAAATTGCAAATTGCCCCCCGGTGGTCTAGACACTGGTCTAGATGCTTAAGGTACTAAGTTGTATAGATTTGTTCACAAGGTGAAATTGTATTTAATACATCTGATAAGTTTAAAGATAGATGTAAGTGGTATTTTTCTTTAAAGAAAGCTGTAAAACTTTACCGAAATGTGTAGATAGTAGATCAATAAAAAATAAAATTTGGCTACAAAGATAAAATTTTTAACTACATATATATTAAAATTATTGCAAATATGTCACAAAGTAGGTTTCACACGGGTTTTCTTTTGTTTTCTAGTATATTATTTAATCTTGTTTGTATTTTTTTCTTATTAACTTCCCGAAGGAGAAGTTCATGTTTTTATCAAAAAAGCGATTCGCTAACTTTATGTTTTCTCGACGTTTCAAGCCATTCTGAATCGAATGAGACCATTTTTGGAAAAAGTATGTGTGTGTGTGCGTGCATGTGTGCAACAACAGATTTTTTGCCGACAAATTTTTTCTCAAAAACGGCTGGACCGATTTCAAAAATTTAAAAGCCATTCGATGATCGGCCAAGCCGTTCCTTCGTGAATAGCCGAAAAGTGAAAAAGTTTTTGGCCACGTTTTAGCCCGCAATTCTGAATCGATTTTGAAAATTCAAAAATCGTTCTAAAGATATTGGTTGGGAATCGACCTGATTAGTTTTTGGCAGAGATCGGCCGGACCGTTTTCTTGTAATAAAGTTTTTTAAAAACAAATCCACGATTTTTATGATTTTTTTTTGACGGTAGATATCATAGTCTTCTAGATCATACTAAAATATTACAGCCTTACGACAACTCGTTTAGCTTTGAAAATTTGTCAAAATTTGCAAAAATTGGTATCGTTTTTTTTTGGCATTTGTCAAAATTAGACCTTTCATCGACGTTTGATCAAAAAGGCCAGAACCAATTTCAGAAATTTAAAAGCTATTCGATGTATCTCAATGAGCACTAGAGTTTGTCAGTTTTGTGAGACGATCTGCCGAGCCGTTTCTTTGTCATTTGAAAAAGAGTGTACCGAATCGATTTAAAAAATCAAAAACTGTTCGAAAGATAGTAGTTGGGAATAAAACTGATTAGTTTTAGGTGAAAATCTACCGAGCCGTTTTCTTGTAATTAACTGTTGAAAAAAAAATTTAAGCCGATTGTTATGAAACTTTCTTTGGCGATGTATACCATGGTCTTATAAAACTTACTGAAATATTACGGCCTTACGACAAATAGTTTAATTTTAAAAATTCTTCAAAGTTTGAGAAAATGAGTAGTTTTGTTGACGTTTGTTAAAATTAAAATTAGATGATTTACTTGGTATAACGATACATTACTTGGTCTTAATGAACATACTAAACCATTAACGTCCTACAAAACTGGTTCAATTTTAAAAATTATTGATTTGTGAAAATTTGCTTTTAGAAAATATTCCGAGTTAACGTGTTCGTTCGTTTTCAATCATGTGTAATAAATCCACTCGGAATACTTTTAATCACTCATAAATTAATTTGTTTCTTATTGATTAAGTCGATTAATTACACATATCGGGAAGTTCATGTAACATGCCTCAAGGCTAAATACCAATACCAACTAGTTATTTAGCAGATCAACATAATTGCGATGATTACGGTGGCCTTTTCATCACCTCTTATTTTTGTTGTGACTTTACGCATCCTCCATGTATGGTCTGCCTGCCGAAGCCAGTTTCATCAAACTTACCACTAGACTTATATGATTGTACATAATATCCAGATATATTTAACAAAATACAGTAAAATATTAGTCCAATATTAATTATGTGTCTTATTGTCCGCCATGCCTTTATATCAATTACAGGTACATTTATTTATCAATCAATGACCTCACATATCAACTTTGTCGACTTAATTATTTATCATGAATATATTGTTCATGCTTTTTTAAACAATATTAATATTTACCATAAAAATAATAAGATTCAAGCAGGACCGTGCCTGGGTACGTGGCCGCCTGCGTGCGAGCATATAAATGTTGTATTCTCCTCAGGAAATTGTTTTCTCCATTCGCGTTTAAAGTATATGACGTTCAACAGCACCATAACAGCACCACAAACATCCGCTGGAGCAAAATAAATTTGTCAATATGTGATCAAATAAAAATGATTTTATTAAAAATTCACCACCTATCGTGGTTGACCAATTCTGTGATGTGTCCCCTTGTAACATTGGCGACCCACTAATTCATAATGGCAGCACTATCGAATTTGGTGACAGTACCATCACTGTTATTTTTATTTATTCTATTTGTGAAATCTATAGACACTATATCCGAGTCGTAGAACATTTTGGCAATCGCGTTGAAGCGCTGTCTTGGATGGATCATGTGAGAAATGTAAATCCTGGTGTCGAAATCTAGATGGTAGGCAGGATTCTTGGCCTGGAGGAATAATTAGTAATGAAAATATAAGTAATATTAACAATGTTTGAATGTATTCAACCTTTAGTGAAGCTATAATTTTTCCTGTACGTTCCCTGTTGCTCTGGTAACTATCAGGAAGGGAGAGTAGTTACAAAATTTCCAACTTTTGTCTGATATTTTGGCCTGCAGTAAAATGAATTTGAGAAATATATAATTATCTTCACAGGCATAAAAAAAGCTAAAGTTATGCAACGAATATTTAAACAAGATTTTAAATTTATGTATAGCATAGTATTACAGTGTGTATATATTTACTTACGTTCTTATATATACCAATAACTTTATAATGTTTGTGATGTGTATGTGTGTGTGTGTGTTTCGACATATATCTAATATGGTATTTTCACATTTATAAAAATAAATTTTTAATTTTTCTATATTTTAAAAATTGGTTTTATTTTACTATGAACACCATTTAATCTGTTTGAAGAATATTTTTATAATTAACAATTGTATACATAATTTTGAATTGTGTAGTTCATAATATTATGATCGCAGTAAATTGAGATTTGAAACTTGTTTGATAAATGAAAATTTTGTTTAAAGTTTTGTTTCATTGTAAAACTTTTACTAACTGATCAAATCAATATGTAATCACATAGATTACTGTACTAATTTTTTTATAAAATTAGTCTTAAGTAGTTAATAAAATAATTAATTATTGAAATACGCTTGTAAAAATTGTAATGATCAATTAAAATAATTATAAAATGTAAAAAGTAGTATTTATTATATGCTATTTATTTAATTGTTTTTCAACTTTGCAAAGGAGTGGTTTGTTTTTACTAGATAATTCAAATTGCTTATTTTGTGTTTTCTCACAGAATGTCATTTGATTTTGATTATTTAAAATAAACGAAATTTAAAGAAAAATGTAATATTAATCATTTTTTGAATTAATTTATATTTTTCTTTTGACCTTGGTTTGAATTTTTTATATTTCAAAATATTTAACCAACTCTACTCTCAATAAGTACACAGTAAGACTCTTTTGCGCCAGCTTTGTTAGTTTACAATAGTTTTGTGGCTAGTTTGTATCATCATTAGTAATTTTATTGTAAACCAATAAGTCAAAACTTGAAAAAAAAAATTGTATGTTTGTATTTATATAATATTTAATGGCTTCACGTGTTGCAGGAATGTAGAACTAAATTTTCTATCAAAATTCAAAAGCAATTCCACAAAACTATTATGATTTTATTAGAAAATTGCTTTTGTTAATAAATTTCAAAATTATTCATGTATATGAGCGATATATAAATAAAACAGTGAAAACTTGTCTGTATATTTAAAAATGTAAAAATATTTAAAAAAAATTGTACCCGAGAAAGGAAAAACAAACGAGTGTACTGCAAAACACAGGTTAGTGAAAGAAAATAAAATTTATTCTACACCAAATTTATTTATTTCAAAAACCAACGACTAATTCATTGCAGTGTAAATTCTTAGAGAGTTTATTAAAAGAATGGAATATCGTTATTTAATTTATAAAACCCTTATTGTTAAAATTGAAGATTCAAATAAACGTCGTTTCGATTTAAAAGCAGAAGAGGCGTTCGAGTTTCTGAAACGCCATCTTCGACCGAGTGAACGTGCACGCTCTGCAGTCGCACGTCTACAAGTCTTTTGCACATCTATGCTTTGCGACGATAGGAGTTGGGAGAGGGAGTTGTCTATGGAGTTGTCATTGCTAGAGTTCATTTTCATCGTGGCGATTGCTGGAAGAAGACAACGAGACGTCGTCGAACACGGACGAGCGGGCCTGACCCTTCGCTGCCTGTAGAGAACATGCGTCACCTGGTACGTTGTACTTGTGCTAATTATATTTCTCTTTGCGGATTCACTCGGATTTCATTTCGTGTTTTCGAGTTTTAAGATGTTTTAGATTTAATTGAAACCTTTCCTCATTTCTGTTTTTTTTTGGAAAACGTGTGCTCGATTTATGTAGTTTTTGCTCAAGTCGTACTACTGTCTAAGACGTACGCCGGATATATTTTATCTGCTTATTTTATTTTGCATCATTTGGTGCCCACTGTTAAATAAAACTACATATTATTAGTTTGTTGACTGAGCAAGAGTTCACAATTGAATGGCTGGCGGTCATTGTGCAGAAGAAATAATCGAAAGTAATAGTAAAAAGTTGTGAAAGTAAAAAATAATGACTGTTAAGTCATTTTGAGAATTACTATGAGTACATTTATACGTATCGTTTAATTTGAAGTCTTATTTACATCATTATCATCTGCTAATTCATTTCAATTTATAGATCAGAAGTATTGTGTAAATTGGATCACAATCATCATGACATCAAAAATTTTAAAGCAAAATTACTTTTCCATGAAAGCCATTCTTTGTTTTAAATGCATAATTTTATTTATTTTACTTGAAAAAAAGTTACAATTTGAACAACAAATTGACAAAGAATAGTTACAATTTGAATGAATATAAAGATGCAAACAAAGACAACAATGACATTTAATAATGTATGTATAAACAACTAAATTCAATAATAATTTGTGTATTTTGCAGGTGCGGGTAAGTTTGCGTTTGCTACTACCAGAGTCCTTCATTTTTTCTACGAACATTGTTACTGTGACGCCATAAATGTGGTATTTATTGGAATTGCATTTGGCACGAATAGATTTATTAAGCGGTGATTTTGTTCAAGATATTAATTGATCAATACTTTAGTTGTCACTATAACTTTTAGAAATTTACAAAATCATTAAGGCATTGAATTTCATGATTCGAATGATCACGATATGTCTTGCATGTGGGTTAATTTATTAGTTAGGTAGCATCAGTAGTTTTAATATTAATAACAAATACTAATACACTAATCTATTCAACTATTGAAAAATAATGTGGTCGTTTGAATCATTTGAGATTATGCAATGTAGATTTGACATATTACATTAGATTTTAATTTTCACTGTTTTCAATTCATGTTAATGCATTCCATATAACACCAAGCGCAATTCTTAAACTGCTAGTAAATTTCTACATTCTATTTCTGGTCATCAAGATAAAATCATATGGAGGCCACAAGATATTATATCAAGCAAATTGTTGAGTATCGAATGGCCAAATATCGAGTGAAAATTGAACACTGACTCACTTCACCGGGAATCGCTCTGAAAATAATTTAAAAAGTACGTTTATATCCATCATCAGTATAAATGTGAACAATAAATAACATGTTTATATTTTTTTTCAGGTTCTTTCAACTACTGCTGCTCTGCACACTGACGCCTTCACCAGGAATCGCTCTGAAAATAATTTAAAAAGTACGTTTTTATCCATAATCAGTATAAATGTGAATAATAAATAACATGTTTATTTTTTTTTCAGGTTCTTTCAACTACTGCTGCTCTGCACACTGACCCCTTCACCAGGAATCGCTTTGAAAATAATCTAAAAAGTACGTTTTTATCCATAATCAATATAAATATGAATAATAAATAACATGTTTTTTTTTTCAGGTTCTTTCAACTACTGCTGCTCTGCACACTGACCCTTTCACCAGGAATCGCTCTGAAAATAATTTAAAAAGTACTTTTTTATCCATAATCAGTATAAATGTGAACAATAAATAACATGTTTATTTTTTTTCAGGTTCTTTCAACTACTGCTGCTCTGCACACTGACCCCTTCACCAGGAATCGCTCTGAAAATAATTTAAAAAGTACGTTTTTATCCATAATCAGTATGAATGTGAATAATAAATAACATGTTTATTTTTTTTTAGGTTCTTTCAACTACTGCTGCTCTGCACACTGACCCCTTCACCAGGAATCGCTTTGAAAATAATTTAAAAAGTACGTTTTTATCCATAATCAGTATAAATGTGAATAATAAATAACATGTTTTTTTTCAGGTTCTTTCAACTACTGCTGCTCTGCACACTGACCCCTTCACCAGGAATCGCTCTGAAAATAATTTAAAAAGTACGTTTTTATCCATAATCAGTATGAATGTGAATAATAAATAACATGTTTATTTTTTTTTTTAGGTTCTTTCAACTACTGCTGCTCTGCACACTGACCCCCTTCACCAGGAATCGCTTTGAAAATAATTCAAAAAGTACGTTTTATCACATAATCAGTATAAATGTGAACAATAAATAACATGTTTTTTTTTTTCAGGTTCTTTCAACTACTGCTGCTCTGCACACTGACCCCTTCACCAGGAATCGCTCTGAAAATAATTTAAAAAGTACTTTTTTATCCATAATCAGTATAAATGTGAACAATAAATAACATGTTTATTTTTTTTTCAGGTTCTTTCAACTACTGCTGCTCTGCACACTGACCCCTTCACCAGGAATCGCTCTGAATATAATTTAAAAAGTACGTTTTTATCCATAATCAGTATAATTGTGAACAATAAATAACATGTTCATTTTTTTTCAGGTCCTTGCAACTAGTGGTGCTCTGCACTCACACTACTTCACCAGGAATATTTCCAGAAACATTTTACCAGGTATGTGTTTATCCATACCAGTATAAATGCAAACATTTCTAAAATGTTTCTTTCTTTTTTGCAGATCTTCTCAATCCAACTATTACTGCCCTGAAGCTATAACATGTGAATGACTCGCAAGTGGTTTTTTTAATAACTGCCTATAATTATGCATGATTAACTTAACTCTTATTAACTCAATAACATGACTAACCTCACTAACTTGATCAGTTATTATAAATACCACTTGTTGAGTTTTACTATGAAGGTTTTACTGAGATTGATTGGAAGACGGGGCTGAATGATTAATCAGGTAATTTATTATTATAGTATATTTCATGAGACTTGTTACTAATTTATTGTTCTTTTTTATAGGGTAAACGACAACTACAAGCCAAGTGGTGAACTCTCAAGTGGCTCATGAGTGAAAACAATAATTTCATCTACTAATTATGCTGTCCGTCCGTCCGTCCGTCCGTCCGTCTTGTCACCAGAGAAGATGCCTACTGTGATTTATTGAATAGTTAAGTGCTTAGATGTTAATGAAATAATGAATAAATATATTGTATTTGATTTAATTTGTTGTTTTAATTTAATTATGAGCCACTTTACGGCCAAATTACATTATGCTGTAACGTAAATTACAAAAATATTTAGACATGTCTAAATTTTAAAAAATGTGTTATTAATAGGGATACTTATTGAGTGCACTTTTTAGTGTAAACAATTGTGTAGAACAGCTTCTTTACTGTTTGCAACCATCTTGCTTTGACTCGATAGAAACGCGCTGATAATAAACTTTGCTTTTTTGCAAACCCTTAAGTTAGTCGAGTGCCTTAAACATTTAATACGCCAGACGACCGATGTTTTCTCTTGTTTAAATATTTTAATTTCCATTATTTCTGTAAATGGTGCACTCTTTTTCTTAGCTATAAATATCACTTAATTTAATATCATACTGTATTATTAATATATATACATACTAGAGATAACTACTCACTCCGGAGTTATCACTCAGATACAACTAATACCTCGGAGTGAATCCGAGTGGAGTTGTCTCGCCGGATTTGTCATATCCGACTTCCCTAAGCTGGTTGTTTTTTCAATGATTGTTGTGATTGAATTTTGAAGGACCAATTGTAAAATACTATAATTTGTAACTAGTAATATTTATTTTATGTTAATAACAAGTTATAAGTGTATTTACAATAATTTTAATATGTTTTTTGATAACGTATTGATTGATTTTATTTATTATGTGATTTTCGACTGATGATTTTTTGTTTTTATATCAATCTAACCGCATGCTTTAATTGGCGCGAACACTGGTACTAAGGAAGCTGTCGCTTTCTCGTCTTCTAAACAGGCAGTTTTATGACCTTTTAGGTATACGTTTTTTTCCAGAAAATACAAAAATATTACTTCAAAGATACAGAACAATGAAATTGTGTTCAATTGTGAATAACTCCAATGTATAATTTATTGAATAGTAAGGGGTCATATTTCTAACTACGACAATCTTTGACCGTGAATTTGGACACATTTAGTCTGTTTTTTCCATAGCCTGAAATAACAATACTTTTTAGAGTGTAAAATATATCAGTGACGTCAATGTATTTAAGCAGCAATATTTATATTATATTATTACTTTTACACAATTATATAATTGTATAAAAGTAATAATATGCTAATCGAACTACCTGATATAATATTAATTCTCGAATGAAAATAGCAGAAGAAAAAATTATAAAGCAGAAGTAATATTATTTGATGAAAATATTTTATGATAAATGTTTTGCTTTTATTACAAAGTTTACTACATTATTTTTATATAAAATTATTCCAAAAAATCAATTATTTTCTCATCAAAAGAAAGTTTTGCGTTTTTACTTTGGTCAATACTGTTAAAATTACAAGTCGTTGAGTCGATCATGTGGTCGACCGAAAAACTCGTCATTTATTTGTGAATTTTTTAGAAAAATTATTTTATTATTATTCTTTTAATTTTATTTTATTCATAAATTTTCATTTAAAAAAATTAAATGGGATTTGGCAAATCCTTAGATGCATAAACAACGCACTTCGACGCATTTGTGTCGAGTATTTCGGTTTCAAATTTGTCGGAGTCGTGGAGTTGTTAAGCGGATATAACTCCTTCCTGAAGCGGAGTTAAATCCGAGTCGATCCGGCTTCGGATATGATAAGCCCATCTCTAATACATACTATAATATATTATAGTTAATGTATTTTAGTCATCTTCATTACGGCAATTGTAAGAATAAATTAATATAATTGTATTATTAAATACTGTGATACATTGAGAGTTTTGAATAAAACTAACTGAACTTTATTTGGAGTGTTTCATTTCACACCATTTTCAGTGATATATATTAGAAACATAAGATACAGTATTATAAACTGATAAGCTAATGTTATTATGAACATTAATATGCTCAATAATTCGTTCTTCGAAGAGGATTTAATATTTTGAATAAATTTTATATAATATAATTTTTGTAATCTAATTCTATCATGATCAATAAAGTTAATGTAGTTATAACTTTGGCCATTTTAAATAGACTAATCTATGGTTTTTCACTCATTTCAACCATGTCAAAAATATTAACTTAAATTTTTCAATCACTTTAATCTGTATTATTATTTAAAGTCTTAATCAGATCATTTGAATTAATATACCTTGTATATTGGTCAGTTTTACTTAACTATAACTTATAGAAAAAATTAAGTTTTCAGTATTGTGTTATTTTCTTCTTTTCGAATATCTTTATCAATACTAATATATCTTTATTTTGATTCGCGTAATTATTACATTAATTACATTAATATTCCTATCATATTGACGCTACCATCTCCTACCTTACTTTACACTACCCTACCTTAACCTAATACTTACCCACGTTAAGAACTAATACTCTTACCTTGCTTACCTCTACCACGTCTCGAACCTGCTACCACGTCCTCTCCAGTGACTCCCAGCTCCTAACGCGCGACGCCACGACGATCACATTAGTAAACCGTTGCAAAGTAGATGATATTGTATATTTTAAACAAAAAAAAACTAACATGTCATATGGCCAAAAAAAAGTTGATTTTGTGTGGCCTCTGTTGGCGTAATGGATAGATTGATGGCATCGTACCTTAAAGGTACCGAGTTCGAATCATACCTCAGGACAAAAAAAGAGTATTGTTCACGTTGTGGTATTTATTTAGTGTTGAATAACACAAAATTAATATTTAGATATAACAAACTAACAAGTCATGAGGCCGAAAGAAAGCAGAATCGATGTGGCCTGTGCTGGCGTAATTGGTAGAACGATGGGTTCGTACCCAAAGAGTGCCGAGTTCGAACCATACCTCGGGACAAAAAATGGAAAGCGTGGTATTTATTATTTATTGTAAGGTAGCACAAAGATAAAATTTGGATTTAGTAAACTAACAGGTCATGAGGCCAAAAAAAAGCAGAATCGATGTGGCCTGTGTTGGCGTATTGCTAGCGTGCTAGCTTCATGCCAACAGGGTACCGAGTTCGATTCATACCTCCGGACACAAAACGCAAAATAGCGTGACTGTTGACGCTGTGGAACGAGGTATGCACGGAATCACATCCGTTCGAATTTGAAACCCCAGGTATGCTCCCCTCGATTCGATTGAGAGGAGAGATACGCGCGAGAATCCCGTATCATCCCCTAATGAACCCCGCAGCAGCCCCGAAAAGGGGCGAGGGGGGATTATAGGGGGGTGGGGTTCGCGAACCCGCAACCCTGTGGTCCCGCCCTCGAAAAAGGGAGAGGGGGGACTATAGGGGGGTGAGGGTTCCGCGCGACGACCACCACTGGGTCGCGCCGGTTGAAAAGCTGGGTGCGTCACAGGTTGGGTCGGTGTGCGAGTCCCCGGAGCACCCTCGAGAGCGATGATGGGGGTGTGGGTGGGGAAAATGCGGTGACGAGGAAAAAAGGGGTGGAAAGATATGAGGAGGGAGAGATAGGGATGGTGGGAGAGAGATAAGGGGGAGAGATAGGGGTGGGGAGAGATAGGGGGAGAGATAAGGGGAGGGAGAGAGATAGGGGGAGAGAGATAAGGGAGGGATGAAGAGGGGGAGAGATAGTAGGGGAGGGATGAGAGAGGGGAGAGAGATGAGAGGGATGGATGAGGAAAAGAAGCGATAGGCGAGACTAAACGCATTTTACAATGTGTTAAGTCTGCGACCGTCGCTCCATCCCTCCCTCGGTCTCTCTCCCCCATCTCTCATCCCTCCTCTTATCACTCCCCTCCACTTATCTCTCCCCCTATCTCTTCCACCCCCCTATCTCTCTCCCCTATCTCTCCCCCTATCTCTCTCCCACCATCCCTATCTCTCCCTCCTCATATCTTTCCAACCCTTTTTTCCTCGTCACCGCATTTTCCCCACCCCACACCCCCATCATCGCTCTCGAGGGTGCTCCGGGGACTCGCACACCGACCCAACCTGTGACGCACCCAGCTTTTCAACCGGCGCGACCCAGTGGTGGTCGTCGCGCGGAACCCTCACCCCCCTATAGTCCCCCCTCTCCCTTTTTCGAGGGCGGGACCACAGGGTTGCGGGTTCGCGAACCCCACACCCCCCTATAATCCCCCCTCGCCCCTTTTCGGGGCTGCTGCGGGGTTCATTAGGGGATGATACGGGATTCTCGCGCGTATCTCTCCTCTCAATCGAGATCGAGGGGAGCATACCTGGGGTTTCAAATTCGAACGGATGTGATTCCGTGCATACCTCGTTCCACAGCGTCAACAGTCACGCTATTTTGCGTTTTGTGTCCGGAGGTAACACAGGCCACATCGATTCTGCTTTTTTTTGGCCTCATGACCTGTTAGTTTATTAAATCCAAATTTTATCTTTGTGCTATCTTACAATAAATAATAAATACCACGCTTTCCATTTTTTGTCCCGAGGTATGGTTCGAACTCGGCACTCTTTGGGTACGAACCCATCGTTCTACCAATTACGCCAGCACAGGCCACATCGATTCTGCTTTCTTTCGGCCTCATGACTTGTTAGTTTGTTATATCTAAATATTAATTTTGTGTTATTCAACACTAAATAAATACCACAACGTGAACAATACTCTTTTTTTGTCCTGAGGTATGATTCGAACTCGGTACCTTTAAGGTACGATGCCATCAATCTATCCATTACGCCAACACAGGCCACACAAAATCAACTTTTTTTTGGCCATATGACCTGTTAGTTTTTTTTGTTTAAAATATACAATATCATCTACTTTGCAACGGTTTACTAATGTGATCGTCGTGGCGTCGCGCGTTAGGAGCTGGGAGTCACTGGAGAGGACGTGGTAGCAGGTTCGAGACGTGGTAGAGGTAAGCAAGGTAAGAGTATTAGTTCTTAACGTGGGTAAGTATTGGGTTAAGGTAGGGTAGTGTGAAGTAAGGTAGGAGATGGTAGCGTCAATATGATAGGAATATTAATGTAATTAATGTAATAATTACGCGAATCAAAATAAAGATATATTAGTATTGATAAAGATATTCGAAAAGAAGAAAATAACACCAACACTGAAAACTTAATTTTTTTTATAAGTTATAGTTAAGAAAAACTGACCAATATACAAGGTATATTAATTCAAATGATCTGATTAAGACTTTAAATAATAATACAGATTAAAGTGATTGAAAAATTTAAGTTAATATTTTTGACATGATTGAAATGAGTGAAAAACCATAGATTAGTCTATTTAAAATGGCCAAAGTTATAACTACATTAACTTTATTGATCATGATAGAATTAGATTACAAAAATTATATTATATAAAATTTATTCAAAATATTAAATCCTCTTCGAAGAACGAATTATTGAGCATATTAATGTTCATAATAACATTAGCTTATCAGTTTATAATACCTGTACCTGTATCTTATGTTTCTAATATATATCACTGAAAATGGTGTGAAATGAAACACTCCAAATAAAGTTCAGTTAGTTTTATTCAAAACTCTTAATGTATCACAGTATTTAATAATACAATTATATTAATTTATTCTTACAATTGCCGTAATGAAGATGACTAAAATACATTAACTATAATATATTATAGTATGTATTAGAGATGGGCTTATCATATCCGAAGCCGGATCGACTCGGATTTAACTCCGCTTCAGGAAGGAGTTATATCCGCTTAACAACTCCACGACTCCGACAACTTTGAAACCGAAATACTCGACACAAATGCGTCGAAGTGCGTTGTTTATGCATCTAAGGATTTGCCAAATCCCATTTAATTTTTTTAAATGAAAATTTATGAATAAAATAAAATTACAATTATAATAATAAAATAATTTTTCTAAAAAATTCACAAATAAATGACGAGTTTTAAAACTTTTCGGTCGACCACATGATCGACTCAACGACTCGTAATTTTAACAGTGTTGACCAAAGTAAAAACGCAAAACTTTCTTTTGATGAGAAAATAATTGATTTTTTGGAATAATTTTATATAAAAATAACGTAGTAAACTTTGTAATAAAAGCAAAACATTTATCATAAAATATTTTCATCAAATAATATTACTTCTGCTTTATAATTTTTTCTTCTGCTATTTCCATTCGAGAATTAATATTATATCAGGTAGTTCGATTAGCATATTATTACTTTTATACAATTATATAATTGTGTAAAAGTAATAATATAATATAAATATTTTTTGCTGCTTAAATACATTGACGTCACTGATATATTTTACACTCTAAAAAGTATTGTTATTTCAGGCTATGGAAAAAACAGACTAAATGTGTCCAAATTCACGGTCAAAGATTGTCGTAGTTAGAAATATGACCCCTTACTATTCAATAAATTATACATTGGAGTTATTCACAATTGAACACAATTTCATTGTTCTGTATCTTTGAAGTAATATTTTTGTATTTTCTGGAAAAAAACGTATACCTAAAAGGTCATAAAACTGCCTGTTTAGAAGACGAGAAAGCGACAGCTTCCTTAGTACCAGTGTTCGCGCCAATTAAAGCATGCGGTTAGATTGATATATAATCAAAAAATCATCAGTCGAAAATCACATAATAAATAAAATCAATCAATACGTTATCAACAAACATATTAAAATTATTGTAAATACACTTATAACTTGTTATTAACATAAAATAAATATTACTAGTTACAAATTATAGTATTTTACAATTGGTCCTTCAAAATTCAATCACAACAATCATTGAAAAAACAACCAGTTTAGGGAAGTCGGATATGACAAATCCGGCGAGACAACTCCACTCGGATTCACTCCGAGGTAGGAGTTGTATCTGAGTGATAACTCCGGAGTGAGTTACCCATCTCTAGTATGTATATTTATATTAATAATAATACAGTATGATATTAAATTAAGTGATATTTATAGCTAAGAAAAAGAGTGCACCATTTAAAGAAATAATGGAAATTAAAATATTTAAACAAGAGAAAACATCAGTCGTCTGGCGTATTAAATGTTTAAGGCACTCGACTAACTTAAGGGTTTGCAAAAAAGCAAAGTTTATTATCAGCGCGTTTCTACCGAGTCAAAGCAAGATGGTTGCAAACAGTAAAGAAGCTGTTCTACACAATTGTTTACACTAAAAAGTGCACTCAATAAGTATCCCTATTAATAACACAAGAAATTTTTAAAATTTAGACATGTTTAAATATTTTTGTAATTTACGTTACAGCATAATGTAATTTGGCCGTAAAGTGGCTCATAATTAAATTAAAACAACAAATTAAATCAAATACAATATATTTATTCATTATTTCATTAACATCTAGGCACTTAACTATTCAATGAATCACAGTAGGCATCTTCTCTGGTGACAAGACGGACGGACGGACGGACAGCATAATTAGTAGATGAAATTATTGTTTTCACTCATGAGCAACTTGAGAGTTCACCACTTGGCTTGTAGTTGTCGTTTACCCTATAAAAAAAAAAACAAATTAGTAACAAGTCTCATGAAATATACTATAATAATAAATTACCTGATTAATCATTCAGCCCCGTCTTCCAAGCAATCTCAGTAAAACCTTCATAGTAAAACTCAACAAGTGGTATTTATAATAACTGATTAAGTTAGTGAGGTTAGTCATGTTATTGAGTTAATAAGAGTTAAGTTAATCATGCATAATTATAGGCAGTTATTAAAAAAAAACACTTGCGAGTCATTCACATGTAATAGCTTCAGGGCAGTAATAGTTGGATTGAGAAGATCTGCAAAAAAGAAACATTTTAGAAATGTTTGCATTTATACTGGTATGGATAAACACATACCTGGTAAAATGTTTCTGGAAAGATTCCTGGTGAAGTAGTGTGAGTGCAGAGCACCACTAGTTGCAAGGACCTGAAAAAAAATAAACATGTTATTTATTGTTCACAATTATACTGATTATGGATAAAAACGTACTTTTTAAATTATATTCAGAGCGATTCCTGGTGAAGGGGTCAGTGTGCAGAGCAGCAGTAGTTGAAAGAACCTGAAAAAAAAATAAACATGTTATTTATTGTTCACATTTATACTGATTATGGATAAAAACGTACTTTTTAAATTATTTTCAAAGCGATTCCTGGTCAAGGGGTCAGTGTGCAGAGCAGCAGTAGTTGAAAGAACCTAAAAAAAAAATAAACATGTTATTTATTATTCACATTCATACTGATTATGGATAAAAACGTACTTTTTAAATTATTTTCAGAGCGATTCCTGGTGAAGGCGTCAGTGTGCAGAGCAGCAGTAGTTGAAAGAACTTGAAAAAAAATATAAACATGTTATTTATTGTTCACATTTATACTGATGATGGATAAAAACGTACTTTTTAAATTATTTTCAGAGCGATTCCTGGTGAAGGGGTCAGTGTGCAGAGCAGCAGTAGTTGAAAGAACCTAAAAAAAAACATGTTATTTATTATTCACATTTATACTGATTATGGATAAAAACGTACTTTTTAAATTATTTTCAAAGCGATTCCTGGTGAAGGGGTCAGTGTGCAGAGCAGCAGTAGTTGAAAGAACCTGAAAAAAAAAATAAACATGTTATTTATTGTTCACATTTATACTGATTATGGATAAAAACGTACTTTTTAAATTATTTTCAAAGCGATTCCTGGTCAAGGGGTCAGTGTGCAGAGCAGCAGTAGTTGAAAGAACCTAAAAAAAAAATAAACATGTTATTTATTATTCACATTCATACTGATTATGGATAAAAACGTACTTTTTAAATTATTTTCAAAGCGATTCCTGGTGAAGGGGTCAGTGTGCAGAGCAGCAGTAGTTGAAAGAACCTAAAAAAAAAAAAAAACATGTTATTTATTATTCACATTTATACTGATTATGGATAAAAACGTACTTTTTAAATTATTTTCAGAGCGATTCCTGGTGAAGAGGTCAGTGTGCAGAGCAGCAGTAGTTGAAAGAACTTGAAAAAAAAACATGTTATTTATTATTCACATTTATACTGATTATGGATAAAAACGTACTTTTTAAATTATTTTCAAAGCGATTCCTGGTGAAGGGGTCAGTGTGCAGAGCAGCAGTAGTTGAAAGAACCTGAAAAAAAACATGTTATTTATTATTCACATTTATACTGATTATGGATAAAAACGTACTTTTTAAATTATTTTCAAAGCGATTCCTGGTCAAGGGGTCAGTGTGCAGAGCAGCAGTAGTTGAAAGAACCTAAAAAAAAAAAATAAACATGTTATTTATTATTCACATTCATACTGATTATGGATAAAAACGTACTTTTTAAATTATTTTCAAAGCGATTCCTGGTGAAGGGGTCAGTGTGCAGAGCAGCAGTAGTTGAAAGAACCTGAAAAAAAAACATGTTATTTATTATTCACATTTATACTGATTATGGATAAAAACGTACTTTTTAAATTATTTTCAAAGCGATTCCTGGTCAAGGGGTCAGTGTGCAGAGCAGCAGTAGTTGAAAGAACCTAAAAAAAAAATAAACATGTTATTTATTATTCACATTCATACTGATTATGGATAAAAACGTACTTTTTAAATTATTTTCAAAGCGATTCCTGGTGAAGGGGTCAGTGTGCAGAGCAGCAGTAGTTGAAAGAACCTAAAAAAAAAAATAAACATGTTATTTATTATTCACATTCATACTGATCATGGATAAAAACGTAGTTTTTAAATTATTTTCAGAGCGATTCCTGGTGAAGGGGTCAGTGTGCAGAGCAGCAGTAGTTGAAAGAACCTGAAAAAAAAATAAACATGTTATTTATTGTTCACATTTATACTGATTATGGATAAAAACGTACTTTTTAAATTATTTTCAAAGCGATTCCTGGTGAAGGGGTCAGTGTGCAGAGCAGCAGTAGTTGAAAGAACCTACAAAAAAAAATAAACATGTTATTTATTATTCACATTCATACTGATTATGGATAAAAACGTACTTTTTAAATTATTTTCAGAGCGATTCCTGGTGAAGGCGTCAGTGTGCAGAGCAGCAGTAGTTGAAAGAACCTGAAAAAAAAATAAAACATGTTATTTATTGTTCACATTTATACTGATGATGGATATAAACGTACTTTTTAAATTATTTTCAGAGCGATTCCCGGTGAAGTGAGTCAGTGTTCAATTTTCACTCGATATTTGGCCATTCGATACTCAACAATTTGCTTGATATAATATTTTGTGGCCTCCATATGATTTTATCTTGATGACCAGAAATAGAATGTAGAAATTTACTAGCAGTTTAAGAATTGCGCTTGGTTTTATATGGAATGCATTAACATGAATTGAAAACAGTGAAAATTAAAATCTAATGTAATATGTCAAATCTACATTGCATAATCTCAAATGATTCAAACGACCACATTATTTTTCAATAGTTGAATAGATTAGTGTATTAGTATTTGTTATTATTAATATTAAAACTACTGATGCTACCTAACTAATAAATTAACCCACATGCAAGACATATCGTGATCATTCGAATCATGAAATTCAATGCCTTAATGATTTTGTAAATTTCTAAAAGTTATAGTGACAACTAAAGTATTGATCAATTAATATCTTGAACAAAATCACCGCTTAATAAATCTATTCGTGCCAAATGCAATTCCAATAAATACCACATTCATGGCGTCACAGTAACAATGTTCGTAGAAAAATTGAAGGACTCTGGTAGTAGCAAACGCAAACTTACCCGCACCTGCAAAATACACAAATTATTATTGAATTTAGTTGTTTATACATACGTACATTATTAAATGTCATTGTTGATGCGTCACCGAAGCTGTCTTCGTATGCAATGCAGCGCTCCAGCGAGGTACAGAATAGTCTTTGTTTGCATCTTTATATTCATTCAAATTGTAACTATTCTTTGGCAATTTGTTGTTCAAATTGTAACTTTTTTCAATAACTAAAATTATGCATTTAAAACAAAAAATGGCTTTTATGGAAAAGTAATTTTGCTTTAAAATTTTTTATGTCATGATGATTGTGATCCAATTTACACAATACTTCTGATCTATAAATTGAAATGAATTAGCAGATGATAATGATGTAAATAAGACTTCAAATTAAACGATACGTATAAATGTACTCATAGTAATTCTCAAAATGACTTAACAGTCATTATTTTTTACTTTCACAACTTTTTACTATTACTTTCGATTATTTCTTCTGCACAATGACCGCCAGCCATTCAATTGTGAACTCTTGCTCAGTCAACAAACTAATAATATGTAGTTTTATTTAACAGTGGGCACCAAATGATGCAAAATAAAATAAGCAGATAAAATATATCCGGCGTACGTCTTAGACAGTAGTACGACTTGAGCAAAAACTACATAAATCGAGCACACGTTTTCCAAAAAAAAAAACAGAAATGAGGAAAGGTTTCAATTAAATCTAAAACATCTTAAAACTCGAAAACACGAAATGAAATCCGCGAAGAGAAATATAATTAGCACAAGTACAACGTACCAGGTGACGCATGTTCTCCACAGGCAGCAAAGGGTCAGGCCCGCTCGTCCGTGTTCGACGACGTCTCGTTGTGTTCTTCCAGCAATCGCCACGATGAAAATGAACTCTAGCAATGACAACTCCATAGACAACTCCCTCTCCCAACTCCTATAGTCGCAAAGCATAGATGTGCAAAAGACTTGTAGACGTGCGACTGCAGAGCGTGCACGTTCGCTCGGTCGAAGATGGCGTTTCAGAAACTCGAACGCCTCTTCTGTTTTGAAATCGAAACGACGTTATTTGAATCTTCAATTTTAACAATAAGGGTTTATAAATTAAATAACGATATTCCATTCTTTTAATAAACTCTCTAAAAATTTACACTGCAATGAATTAGTCGTTGGTTATTGAAATAAATTTGGTGTAGAATAAATTTTATTTTCTTTCACTAACCTGTGTTTTGCAGTACACTTGTTTGCTTTTCCTTTCTCGGGTACAATTTTTTTTAAATATTTTTACATTTTTAAATATACAGACAAGTTTTCACTGTTTTATTTATATATCGCTCATATACATGAATAATTTTGAAATTTATTAACAAAAGCAATTTTCTAATAAAATCATAATAGTTTTGTGGAATTGCTTTTAAATTTTGGTAGAAAATTTAGTTCTACATTCCTGCAACACGTGAAGCCATTAAATATTATATAAATACAAACATACAATTTTTTTTTCAAGTTTTGACTTATTGGTTTACAATAAAATTACTAATGATGATACAAACTAGCCACAAAACTATTGTAAACTAACAAAGCTGGCGCAAAAGAGTCTTACTGTGTCCTTATTGAGAGTAGAGTTGGTTAAATATTTTGAAATATAAAAAATTCAAACCAAGGTCAAAAGAAAAATATAAATTAATTCAAAAAATGATTAATATTACATTTTTCTTTAAATTTCGTTTATTTTAAATAATCAAAATCAAATGACATTCTGTGAGAAAACACAAAATAAGCAATTTGAATTATCTAGTAAAAACAAACCACTCCTTTGCAAAGTTGAAAAACAATTAAATAAATAGCATATAATAAATACTACTTTTTACATTTTATGATTATTTTAATTGATCATTACAATTTTTACAAGCGTGTTTCAATAATTAATTATTTTATTAACTACTTAAGACTAATTTTATAAAAAATTTAGTACAGTAATCTATGTGATTACATATTGATTTGATCAGTTAGTAAAAGTTTTACAATGAAACAAAACTTTAAACAAAATTTTCATTTATCAAACAAGTTTCAAATCTCAATTTACTGCGATCATAATATAATGAACTACACAATTCAAAATTATGTATACAATTGTTAATTATAAAAATATTCTTCAAACAGCTTAAATGGTGTTCATAGTAAAATAAAACCAATTTTCAAAATATAGAAAAATTTAAAATTTATTTTTATAAATGTGAAAATACCATATTAGATATATGTCGAAACACACACACACACATACACATCACAAACATTATAAAGTTATTGGTATATATAAGAAAGTAAGTAAATATATACACACTGTAATACTATGCTATACATAAATTTAAAATCTTGTTTAAATATTCGTTGCATAACTTTAGCTTTTTTTATGCCTGTGAAGATAATTATATATTTCTCAAATTCATTTTACTGCAGGCCAAAATATCAGACAAAAGTTGGAAATTTTGAAACTACTCTCCCTTCCTGATAGTTACCAGAGCAACAGGGAACGTGCAGGAAAAATTATAGCTTCACTAAAGGTTGAATACATTCAAACATTGTTAATATTACTTATATTTTCAATACTAATTATTCCTCCAGGCCAAGAATCCTGCCTACCATCTAGATTTCGACACCAGGATTTACATTTCTCACATGATCCAGCCAAGACAGCGCTTCAACGCGATTGCCAAAATGTTCTACGACTCGGATATAGTGTCTAAAGATTTCACAAATGGAATAAATAAAAATAACAGTGATGGTACTGTCACCAAATTTGATAGTGCTGCCATTATGAATTAGTGGGTCGCCAATGTTACAAGGGGACACATCACAGAATTGGTCAACCACGGTAGGTGGTGAATTTTTAATAAAATCATTTTTATTTGATCACATATTGACAAATTTATTTTGCTCCAGCGGACGTTTATGGTGCTGTTGAACGTCATATACATTAAACGCGAATAGAGAAAACAATTTCCTGAGGAGAATACAACATTTATATGCTCGCACGCAGGCGGCCACGTACCCAGGCACGGTCCTGCTTGAATCTTATTATTTTTATGGTAAATATTAATATTGTTTAAAAAAGCATGAACAATATATTCATGATAAATAATTAAGTCGACAAAGTTGATATGTGAGGTCATTGATTGATAAATAAATGTACCTGTAATTGATATAAAGGCATGGCGGACAATAAGACACATAAATTAATATTGGACTAATATTTTACTGTATTTTGTTAAATATATCTGAATATTATGTACAATCATATAAGTCTAGTGGTAAGTTTGATGAAACTGGCTTCGGCAAGCAGACCATACATGGAGGATGCGTAAAGTCACAACAAAAATAAGAGGTGATGAAAAGGCCACCGTAATCATCGCAATTATGTTGATCTGCGAAAATATAACAAAGAATATAAAAAAATAACTAGTTGGTATTGGTATTTAGCCTTGAGGCATGTTGCATGAACTTCCCGATATGTGTAATTAATCGACTTAATCTATAAGAAACAAATTAATTTATGAGTGATTAAAAGTATTCCGAGTGGATTTATTACACATGATTGAAAACGAAACGAACACGTTAACTCGGAATATTTTTAAAAGCAAATTTTCACAAATCAATAATTTTTAAAATTGAACCAGTTTTGTAGGACGTTAATGGTTTAGTATGTTCATTAAGACCAAGTAATGTATCGTTATACCAAGTAAATCATCTAATTTTAATTTTAACAAAGTCAACAAAACTACTCATTTTCTCAAACTTTGAAGAATTTTTAAAATTAAACTATTGTCGTAAGGCCGTCGTAATATTTCAGTAAGTTTTATAAGACCATGGTATACATCGCCAAAGAAAGTTTCATAACAATCGGCTTAAATTTTTTTTTCAACAGTTAATTACAAGAAAACGGCTCGGTAGATTTTCACCTAAAACTAATCAGTTTTATTCCCAACTACTATCTTTCGAACAGTTTTTGATTTTTTTAAATCGATTCGGTACACTCTTTTTCAAATACAAAGAACGGCTCGGCAGATCGTCTCACAAAACTGAAAAACTCTAGTGCTCATTGAGATACATCGAATAGCTTTTAAATTTCTGAAATTGGTTCAGGCCTTTTTGATCAAACGTCGATGAAAGGTCTAATTTTGACAAATGCCAAAAAAAAAACGATACCAATTTTTGCAAATTTCAAAGCTAAACGAGTTGTCGTAGGGCTGTAATATTTTAGTATGATCTAGAAGACTATGATATCTACCGTCAAAAAAAAATCATAAAAATCGTCGATTTGTTTTAAAAAAAACTTTATTACAAGAAAACGGCCGGCCGGCGATCTCTGCCAAAAACTAATCAGGTCGATTCCCAACCAATATCTTTAGAACGATTTTTGAATTTTAAAATCGATTCAGAATTGCGGGCTAAAACGTGGCCAAAAACTTTTTCACTTTTCGGCTATTCACGAAGAACGGCTTGGCCGATCATCGAATGGCTTTTAAATTTTTGAAATCGGTCCAGCCGTTTTTGAGAAAAGGGCGATTTACGGCAAAAATCTGTTGTTGCACACACGCACGCACACACAAATACTTTTTCCAAAAATGGTCTCATCGATTCAGAATGGCTTGAAACGTCGAGAAACATAAAAAGCGAATCGCTTTTTTGATAAAAACATGAACTTCTCCTTCGGGAAGTTAATAAGAAAAAAAT